GCAAGTGTTTAAGTAAGAGAAGAAATTTTATCAAGTCCACCCCAGTTTCTTGACAGTGGACCACATTCTAAAACAAACCTTGCCCCCCTCCCCAGTGCATGGAATCCAAGATATGCTTATGCATACCTGAAAATAGAACTCTGCATCTTGCTAAACTTCTAAACCAGTGGGTAATCCTATGAAAAAAAAACAGATCCAGCATATCACCAAACAGAAATCCTCTTAAAAAAAAATCCAAACCTCCTTCTTTATGTTTTGAACTGTCTTCTGTTACCATCACATTTGGTGAAACTACTCATTTTTCCTTGTTATTCAAAGACAAAAAGAAAACTAAATCTAATCTTCAAACAACAGGAATTATGAAAGGCAGTTTAACTAGAACCCATCAAGTAGCAGGTCTAACATAAAAAAATTTAACATAAAAGCTGCTGCATCTCTCTGTGAAGAATTTTACAAGAAAAATTACTTTCCAGTAATTCAAAGGATAAGGAATCAAGTAGAAATGTAACATCTATGCTCATTTCCCAGGAGAAACAGTAAAGTTAATGCACTTCAGTTAGTGTATACATGGTTCTGCATACACAGGGACTGTAAGTATTGCTTCTGTTCAGATATATTTTTCTTTTCCTGACCCTTTGAGGACTCATAGCTAGAAGCATCTGCTTGGGTGAATGAGGTGCACGTTCCAAGTCAAGGCATGGTTATTTCAAGGCTGACAGACAAATCAGTGTTTCCCTGCATCAAGGAGGAGCAACTAGTAGCCAGCTTGAGCAACCAGTTCACTCACATGTGACACAGTCTCTACCTTTCTAAAATCCCAGTTAAACACTCAGGAATGGAAAGCTGGGTTTTCTTGAGTTTGTGTAAGCTTGGAAATTTCATAATCTCACATCTGTAACTTCACTCTCCCTGGCCTCCCACCAGCCAAAGTGCAAGCTTTGATTCAGATTTTCATTTATGGTGTTGATCTATACCCTCACAGAGCTGGCATTTATGCAGTTTGTCAGAGATACTCTCCACAAGTGGGCAAAAGTAATAAAGAGCCACCACTCGCTCCTAAAACAGAAATTCATATCTAGAATGAAATTTAAATTAGAGGGGAAGATGGCAGTAAACACTTCTATGGCAAAGGAATAAAGAAAACCAAGCAGATCCTGAGAGACATGAAAGTTAGGGAAGGTAATACTTTTGACAAAGGAAAACAAAAGATGCCTTCATAGTTCTTGAGAGACATAAATCAATGACAATACTGAAGCATGGAGCAATCCCTGTCCAGAAACAAACCCAGGGGAGAGAACAGGGCCAGAGCAGCATCTTTCTGTAGGAGGTAGAAGGTGTGCTTCATCCTCTCCTGCACACAGGAATTCTGTTGAAATAAGATGGCCATGAACTCTCCACACACAAGACAGGGCACCCAACACAGAAAGGTTCTAGTTCAGGTCTCAGAATCAACACACCAATGTTAACCCAAGCTGTCCTCCTTCTCATTTCAGACCCAGCAGGCTGCTGCCCCACGCTCTAGTGCACAGGATAGGATGACCATAAACAAAATTTCTTACCAGGACTCTATAATTTACCAACCTCTTTGTGGTGGGTTGACCCTGGCTGGATGCCAGGTGCCCACCAAGCTGCTCTATCCCTCCCCTCCTCAACTGCATGATGGAGAGAACATATAATGAAAGGTTTGTGGGTCAAAGTATGGACAGGGAGACCACTCAACAATTACTGCCATGGGCAAAACAGACTCAGCTTGGGGAAATCAAATTTATTTTATTGCCAATCAAATCAGAGTAGAATAAAGAGAAATACACCCAAATCTTAAAAACACCTTCTCCCCATCCCCTCCCTTCTTCCCAATCTCAACTTCACTTCTGATTTCTCCACCCTCTTCCCTCACAGTAGCACAGGGGGATGGGAATGGGTGTTGCAGTCAGTTCATCACGTATCTCTGCTGCTCCTTCAGCTCCAGTGTGGGGTCCCTCCCACAGGAGACAGCCCTCCATGAACTTCTCCAACACTAGTTCTTCCCACAGGCTACAGCTCTTCACAAACTGCTCCAATATGGGTCCCTTCCACAGGTGTAGTTCTTCAGGAACAACTGCTCCTGTGGGGATCCCCCACAAGGTCACAAGTCCTGCCAGCAAACCTTGTCCAACCTGGGCTCCTCTCTCCACAGGGCCACAGGTCCTGCTGGGTTCCTGCTCCAGTGTGGGCTTCCCCCAGGGTCAAACCCTCCTTTGGCCACCAAACTGCTCTGCCATGGGGCCCTCCATGGGCTGCAGGGGGACAGTCTGCCTCAGCATGGTCTTCACCACAGCTTGCAAGGCAATCTCTATTCTGGCACTTGGAGCATCTCCTCCCTCTCCTTCTACACTGACCTTGGTGTCTGCACAGCTGTTTCTCTCACATTCTTCTCTCTGGCTACAGTTGTGCATTTGGGTCCTTTTTCCCCTTCTTAAATACATTAGAGGCACTACCAGTGTCACTGACTGAGTTAACCTTGGCCAGCAGTAGGTCCATCTTGGAGCTGGCTGCCATTGGCTCCATATGATGTAGGGGAAGCTTCTAGCAGCTTCTCATAGAAACCAGCCCTGCAGCCTCCCTGCTACCAAAAACTTGCCACACAAACCAGATACACTCCTGCACATAAAACCATGTTTAAATTGTCAAAATTGGATCATAAAAAGAGACACTGGAGCAACAAACTCTAGGGTCAGTCCTGATTCCACACGTGCTTATATAACTGGTTTTAATTTGACATGTACATATGGTCTTGTGTTCTAGTGCAGTGATCATAAAGAAACAACTTAATTTCTAGAATAATCCAATTATAAGATGTACCACCAGCTATGCTTCTAAAGAAAGCACCAAGCATAAATCTTTGAGCATCACTTAGTCTGAGTTTTTCTATTGTTAAAGAGTCTCACTCAGTAGTTCAGATCACTAATGATCACACTTCCAGTTGCTGCTAATTATTGTATAATTTGATTCCTTCCTGCACTCTTTTAAAAGTGATGTATTCCAATGCAAAAAATCCAGGTCTAGTCTATGCCTGAGTGTGGAAATGACCACACTGCACACATCCAGCTTCTTAGTAAGTTTAGTTCTTAAGAGACCATGAATGTTCTGAGTTCCCCTATGCACACGTACAGCAGAAAATATCCCACAGCAAATAAAACTGAAATGAGTAAAATCAAGGTTCTAGTCTATAGTTACTGCTAGAGAATGAGAGAAATTGGAGGATCAGAGTGGATGAAGATATTGACAGTAAGTTTTCCAAAGTAAGTTTTCCAAAGTGATACATTTCTTCCTATAGTTAATGTAAAAAGAAAATGTATATAAATGCATAAATACATAGGTATAAACAAGCCACATTTTCTCAGACTAAAAAGTACAGCCACTTGACTTTAAAGTCAGAAAAATACACATTGAACCCTTCTAAGGTCACAACCAGAGGTCTGTTCCTTGGTGATTACATTTTCTCCCACAACCTTTTCCATATTCACATAAAACTGCTAAAAGAGGAGATATTATGTAGCTAAAACTTTTTTTCCCCAACAAATCCAAGTGCCCATCATCTGGCTGAGGTCAGATGCCACCCAGTTGAAACCTGATGCAAACTGGCATTGTAAAATTACAGCAGTGGGTCCTTCCCATCAGATAGCTTCTCAATTTGTCAGCAAGGTTTACCACTGACAGCTGCAGGTCTGGTGGATGACTTCTTTGCTATCATCTCCAACTCTCCTACAGAAATATGTTTTAAGAGTCTACACCTTATCTCCCCCAAGTACAACCTCACCTCAAATCAGATATGTCCTCACTGTATACTGGTTAGATTAGTACCATACAACTTACCAGAAATCTTAAAATATTATTCCTGAACTAATCTAAATGATTTAGAATGTAACCAAGTACCTATCACTGGGAAGGTACTACAGATAGCACAGCTCCAGCAACTAATTAGAGATTTTGTCATGTTTAACTACAATTGTCTAATTTCCAAAGATCTAAATGGCACGTGTCAAAAAATGCAAGACTGTGAATAATGACTTGACAACTCTGTTCATCATGAGCAGAAGTGTTGCAAACCTTAGCCAGAAGGGGAGATTTTAATCTACATTTAAGACATGGTTCTAAGCTTCCCTGAAACAAGGAGTGAGGCTGAATAGCCTGAAACAAATGAGGCTTATAGTAAAAAAATCCACCAAAATTCATATTTGTACTGCAGCATCCAGTGTATTTCCTTAAAAAACTAAATTAAAAACTAAAACAATTTTAGCTGCATGTAGTTACATGAGTTTATTTTGAACTGGGGCCAGTTCTGCAATATCTAATATTCTGAGTGCAGTATAAGAATAGCTAGACAAGATAGTACAGTGCTGAATAGTTATTTTGGCATTGGAGCTTTTTCTTTGTGGGTAGGGTTGGGGAAGAGGTCACACAGTTGTCACTGGCTCCCCTTCCATAGCCACGAGGATCCTGAAACGTTATCTAGGAGGTGTGCCAGGACCAGTTTAGGCACAGCTCTGGTGGCAGCATTCACCACACTGCAGCCCAACACCACTACACCCTACCTTCTGCAGGGCTCCTGGTCAAAGCACTTGGTACTCCAACTGCCTAATGACCTCAGCACCTATTCCCCTATATTCTAACCATCTCCAGGTCTCCTATCCTGCTCCCACATTCACCAACCCCCCAGCACTTTGTTTTTTCCTACCCATCCCCACGCAGAGGCTGAGAGATGTCCTCCCTCTGATGTATTTTTGCTAGACATGCTGTTCTGTAGTGGAAATAGCACTGGCAGCAAGATTCTCCCACATTATTTTATGCTGTGAGCACTTTTTAACTATTCCACAGGCAACAGTGCTGGTGTTTCCCTGTTAACAATGATAGAACGTTAGAACACGGTGTGAAGTGTCAGTATTCTTACTGCTTGAATGGCCTAGCTAATGATTTTCATGTCAAAGGAGCAGGACAGCAGCAGGTGGTGGAATACTTGCCTCCATTTTTCCCCACTGTTCTGAAGCACCTCCAGAAGGTCCTGAGAAAGGAGGCCCTGTTGTGAGGGGTGGCTTGGACGAAGCTGAACTCCCGGAACAAGACGTGTGTCCCCTGCCGCACGCTGGTAAAACTGGGGAGACAAAGTCAAAAGAAGAGAAGGTTAGAAAGCTCAACCCATGGGAATTCTTGGGGGGCCAGCTGGAACAGCAGCAAGAAAACCACTGGCAGTTCCATTGTGTGAAACCCAATCCCCAAAGCTTATACCCCTCTGTTCTCTAGAGAGATTATTTGCAAAAGCCACACGTTGGAACTTAATTATAGGAATCGGAGGTTTGTGGAAAGAAACTTCATTCTAAAGAATCCCAGCAAGAGGTGTCCAAGAGCCACTCATCTGAAACCAATCCATTGAAAAAGGGTTGGCCAAGAGTAACTGTTGTTTAGCCGACCAGAAGATGCCCTTTCTTTTAGTACTTTTTGAACTTTGCTGCTATTCTCATCACACTTATCCCACGAAGCCACAAAAACAACAACAAAAAAAAAATCCTCTCTAACAGGAGACTCAAGATTTCATTTCTAGGTCACTGAAACTTGTATTAGATGCATAAAATCTACTTCAGTTACCATGAAAAGCAGATTGACCCTTCACTACATGCCACTTTGCACTAGTGCATTCTTGTCGTTATGATGGATAGTTAGCTTGATATTCACATTCTTGTATTTTAATATAAATTTCTCATATTTGAGTCATAAGCACTTTAGCCTAACTTATTATAATAAACATTTGTCTTAAAAAGGTTTCTCTGAAGTGCAAGAAGCCCTCCTTTGGGCATGATAAAGCTCAAGAAGACAAGAAGGCAAGAAGAATAGAAATGCAAATACAAACATTATCTACCAAAAGATATAATGACAGAGTTGCCTCAAAGATAGATTTTGTGCATTTCATTCTGCATCCTGCAAGTGGGACAAAGCTTTCAAACACTCCAGAGAGATCATTAAAAGCATTCACTTGGGACAGCAGCTTATCTCTCCCACATAGGAGAGAATTAATGAAAAGATACAAGTTTACTTTCATCCCAGCAGAAGCTCTCCATAGGTAGTATCTTCACAACAAACAAAATCCACTGGTCAGTGTGAAACCTCTCAGTTTGCAATTTTAAATAATCCCTTTAAATATAAATAGTTTAATTCACTTTGTCCTTCATAATAGAAAAGCAGATCTCACATTTGAAAGAGAACTATACCACATAGAGTTGAGCAAAATTAAAAAGTCATGTATCAACCTGGGAGAGTGTGGAGAGAAGCTGATTTGATTTTTGAAAAAAAGAATCACAATTTCTGGTTTTTAATCTCCTGGTTCTCAAAGACATGCAAGTAAATGGAATTTTTTGTCATGTATTGACAGCTAGGTGCAGAGCACTGTTTCCAGCCCTCCTACCCATAAGGAAATGCAACTCCAAGTACAATCACCTTATGGTTAAGACACACACTTGACGACTCTTGAATCCTGGAATTAGGAATACTCCTCCTGTAAATATCATGTGCAAATACATTATTCTGCATTTATGAAACCTTAATCATACACCAGCGCTGTACAAATCAGAGGAAAGCACAGCCATTGTCCCAGGAGATGAAAGTGAATAAATAAATCATGTGTCTGATCAAAATACTCCAAAATTACAGGAAAGGGCTCCCATGGCTATCGTTGTAAGTAGAGAGTACTCATTACAAAGTGCTGCAGCTCACTGCTTTAGAGTGAATGAGTTCAGAGTAAGGGAAAGTAACTTGCATAAAGTCCCACAGGATGGTTGTGACAAAGCTGGAAATGGGATTTTAGATCTTCTCATCCCAAACCACAGCCCATAAGACTTTTTTTTTATTTCTGATTTGCATTGTTTTGCTTTTGATTTCCAGGCTGATGGAGGAGAGTTACAAATGAAAAAGAAGAAACTTGGTATAATAGGAAGAGGCAGATTTCAAGAAGATGTTTAAGAAGAGAAAGAAGATGAAGGCACAATGATACAATTAAGTGTATTAAATAATGTTGCTCAGAACAACTACAGCACATGCAGCTTCTGGAAGCAGATCCTGGCACAACTGCAATGGAAAGGTCCAGACATGAAGCTAACACACTATTCATTCCCAGCAGACAGCCCTACTCTATCACTATATATAATGTAGAGAAAACTCAACTCACTTGCACTTTCAGCACGAGCTGACTGCAGACCCAGCAGGCAGAAGGGAATGATATCATTTGTTGTTGCTCATTCAGTGGGAAGAGTGGGTGGATATGCTGGAACATCAGCACACCTGGATGTGCTGACAGCCAAGCGCCGCCAGGGAGCTGAGTAAAAGACATCCAGTATTTCCTCCATTCTTCACTTCTGGCAATAAGGTTTTGTTTCAATACACAATGGAAACATTTTTTTTTCCCCCAAAAGCTCAAGTCTGCAAGCACAGGAGTCAGAATTTTATCATTTCAGAGATGCTGCTTTATAAATCCCCTTTTGTAAGCTGTGAAAGTTCAGCCTAGAGAAGCCAGCCTGGAGCTATCCAGGGAACAGCCCAGTGACAGGGCAACAGATCCACTCTTAGGCAAGGCCAAGATCACCACAAGGGACAGACACTCTGCACATTTTTAACAAACTATAAGTTCTGAAATCTCTTTATCACAGGTGGATACACAGTACAAAAATAACTTGGCCAACTTTTCCTTAACAATTGCCCAGAGATGAAGTTACCATTAATGTGGGAAGTAATAACAGCCTGCAGATAAACCCTCTGGAAGAAAGAGAAATGGTGACACCCCAAAGCTGTTGTAGGTACTCCAACAGCATGCAGGGACTATGACCAACACCTTACCTATGATTTTCACATGTATGTAAACAGGTTCCTTTTCTGTTTTCTTTTGAACACAAAAAATGAAATGAGCTACAGACTCAGAGGAACAGTTTACTTAAACAAGATATCAACAGCAAAGAAACCATCTTACCTCAAACATTCTCAGCCAGTTCAACAGCCATTTAGATTTTTCCCTTAGGCTTGCTCAGTCATTCCTCTATCTGCCATACATTAACCATACATTTCATAGAATCATAGAATGCTCCAGGTTGGAAGTGACCTTTAAAGGTCATCTAGTCCAAATCTCCTGCTCTAAGCAGGGACAGTTTCAACTAGATCAGGCTGCTCAGAGCCCCATCCAACCTGACCTGGAACGTTTCCAAGGATGGGGCACTGACCACCCCCCCCTCAGAGTAAAAAAAAACAAATTCTTTCTTTTAGACTACATAGTCTGAGTCTACCCTCTTCCAGTTTCAAACCATCACCCCTTGTCTTGTCCCAACAGGCCCTGCTAAAAAGATTGTCTCCACAGTAAGGTCCCAACCAGAGCCTTCTCTTCTCCAGGCTGAAGAACCCCAACACTCTCAGCCTGTCCCCCCAGCAGGGCTGTTCCAGCCCTCTGATCATTTTTGCAGCCCTCCTCTGGACTCACTCCCACAGGTTCATGTCTTTCCTGTGCTGAGGACTCCAAAGCTGGGCACAGTACTACTGGTGGGGTGTCACCAGAGTGGAGCAGAGGGGGAGAATCACCTCCCTCAACCTGCTGGCCACACTTCTTTTGACTTTGCTCCACCCATCCCCATTTTGCAGTCCAGCTTAGGAGGTGCAGGAGGAGAGGCTGCCAGTGAAGACTGAGGCAAAAAAGTTGTAGAGTACCTCAGCCTTCTCCTCATCTGTGGTTCCCAGCTTGTCAGTCTTGCTCATCAGGGACAAGATGACCTCCCTTTCTAGTTGACATACCTGTAGAAGCCCTTCTTTGCACCCCTTGTCAAGTTCAGCTCCAGCCATGCCTTTGGCCTTCCTGACCCCATTCATTTGCAGAAGAAAGACTTATGAACAAATTAGGGTATCTCAATAAGGTATTAGTTTGTCCTCAATCATTTAGAAATGGGTTTGTGAACGTAGAGCCAGGAAATTAAGTTCTCATTTCTCTGGTTAACATCTCCTTTTAGGCATTTAGTGTAACCATCTGCAAGAGATGCCTTCAAGAATAAAGCTTTCAACAACTCTGCACATCTCTCAGCCTCCTATTGCAAACCTAGTGGTTGCCCTGGCCCCCTACACTACCAGGGAATGGAACAGGCAAATTAGGACATCATCAGAAGTTACCAATGATGTGATTTTATTTGTCTTGCTGAGACTAATGAACATTCAGTTCAGTTTCTAGTTAACACCAGTTCATTGCAAACACTCATATTTCACACAATAATTGTTACACAACTGGATTCTCCATTAACCAAACAGCTTTTCCCATTCACTTGTGAGAACATTCTGGAGAAAGATGAGAGAAGAATAAAGCAAGGTTCTCAATCAATGGGAAGACCTAAAGAAACTTTTACAGTAGGGGGGGCTTCAAGTGGCTTACTTTTACACTCCTTTCTTTTACATGCCCCAGAACAGCCAAACTACAGAGGTCTCTTCCATCATCACTGCTGAGAAAGCTGCACCTTGCAGCACACCTAGTCCATGCTTGTGGGATAGCATGTGCAGAGGGGGAAAAAAATGTCCTGGGAGAAGACTGTGATAAAACAGCCCCAGCTCTCAGAAATGGCTGTGCTGGGAACTCTAGCACTCAGGTGCTGCTTCTCTGCACAGAGCTGCTTTCAGTAAGGCTTTGTCTTTTGTGTAATTACATTTCGGCAGCTTGCCAGAGTTCAGAAGCTTTCAAGCACTCCTTTCAAACCTTTGGACTTGTAAATAGATTGTACAAGTCCCAGGATGCTATGGTAACATCCCAATTGAAAACCACTACAGTAGTTTGCCTCTGCCTGCTGAACTCGGGCAAAGCCAAATCTGCACAATGCAGAGAGAGCCCCAAGTCCTCAAGAAGGATGGAAGAGCTTGCCAGGATCCTGCTGTCCCCCTAGCAGGTGCCACCTTTGGTTACCATGCAAAGAGCTGAAGGAGTTCACAGGACCCCTGCTCTACTAAATGGAAAACAAGGAACAAGAACCCTTACTGCTTAACTTACAGCATTACTGCTTGCATTTTCCATCAAGAGCATGATGAAAATCACACTGAAGGCTTCTGCTGCTTCTCCAGCATGAACCATTTCCCCACACACACACGCTGCTTTTATTCCCAGTTACACAGGTGTCTAAGTCATTAAAACAGAATTGAGTGTCTCCAGAAAAGTTAAGGTAGTCTCAAATGCAAAGCTGCCATTGGAGGCTGTCTAGACTGCCTGAAACAAAAAGAGAAACAGTGCAGAGGTGCTGATGTCAACATTATGAGTATCTCAGGGTTCTTTTGTTTTTTTTTCTTGAAATACACTCTGAATTAGCTCTAGCCTGGTCCCCTGGGCTGAATGCTCATTTGCAGCTGGAACACAACTTCCAGTTTAGTTCCATCTGAAAGGATCCCAGGTCACGAGCTCCACGACTGCTCCTTGGTGTTACCCAAAGCACAGTAAGTAGGGATAATGAGGAGTATTAGGATTAGAAAGTGTAGTACCACGGGTAACAAAGAACCAGCTCCAGCAATAGAAAATACTGAAACTCAAAAGGCTTTAAAACCCAGGCAATTTCTGTTATTAAATAACTTATCCACACACAAAGCATCCCCACGTGACCAAAAAACACTTACCCCAAGGCTATGCTCTGAAACAGCAAAGGGAGGTTTTTACCTTGTCTGGAATGAGCCCTGAGAGGGAACACTTAAACTGTAGGCACCCTTAGGAAAAAAAAACTTTTAAAAAAATCTCAGTTTCACTGCTGTGATGAATAAATTACTGCTGCACAAGTGTAGGTTAATTTGAGATCATTCTACTGCTCACTTATTGGTTTAAAGTGTGCAACACTACTTAGAATATCCAGCCCAATCATTGGATTGTTTCTTTAGCCATCCTCTTGGAAGGTAGAGTAAAAGCATTAGCATTCCTCAATTCAAAGCTGTTGTATCAAGTGCTTTTTAAAATTCCATAGGTATTAAAATTTGGGACAATGAAGTCAGCCTGAAGGAAATCACCATCCTCCTCTAATGAAATTAGCAGTGTTTTTTAGGCACTTCCTCTGAAATGTGTTAGCAACATTAAGAGGAAACAGATGCTGAAAGTTATTCCTGGTGACTGACTTTAAGGCAAAATCCTTTTTTAATAATCAGGCAGCTAGGAAATCATTAAGATTCTTAACATTTTGGTGAGACTGGCTGATATAAAACTGCAAACACTGGTTTTTTTTGAGATTCTTTTTGTCTTACCCACTCAGGTTTATTTCAACTGAAGGGTGTTGAAAGAGAGAAAGGATTGACACAAATTTTAATGATTTGTTTTCAAGTTTCTTGATATAGGCACAGGAATATCTGTATTCATGGCAGAGTCAATACAGGTGGTACAGAGATAATCCCAAGTACTAATGAAATGAACCACATCTCAGAGCAGGCAGCAAACAACCTTTCTTACATTGCTTTGTAGCAAATCAAACCCTCTGAGACCAGTCCACAGATTCTGGAGAAGGAAAGGATTAAAAGGAGTTGCTGTGCCTGCTTTTTATTACCCAGAATCTCTTTATCTTTTACAGGACCCCTCCTCCTTTAATTTTTCCAATGCTAGGACAGTAATGTAACACCTTGAAGCTTTTAAATTACAAGCTAAAATGATCTTACTGTGTTGAATTATCAGCCCATGATTTTTTTTTAAAAAAAAAAGGCAAATGAGTGTGGAGAAGTGGGAATCTCTAAAAACAGAAGCCTTTTGATCAGAGCAGCATCTTGCAGTTTGCTGTAACTCAAGCTGGCCAGTCTCACATAGCAGGAATTAAGGACTCCCCCTGCCAGCAAGGGCCCTATTAAAACACAATAGCTGTTTGAAAAGGGTAAGCAAGCTGATATGGATATAATAGGCCACATATTGGGGCCCCTTTCTACTCTGAAATAAAGCTGCTGCTTAGAGTTATGAGCTGGGAAACCTAGTATTCAGGAAGATGGGAAAGGGCACACAATGGAAGACAATAAACAGCCCTGCAGAAGCCCTCCAAGGTGCTTAAGGAAAAAGGAAAGAAGCCTTCAGAGATGAGCAGCAATCTCCCAGGACTTGCTCTTTCAGACTGATCAGGTGCTATTTTCAGACCACATGGCATTTCAGTGAGTGTGGAAAGGTCTTGCTGGTATAAAGAGAGATTGAGTTTTTACAGTAAGCTGCACACCACAGGGACAGCTGCATGAATACCATTGGAGCTGGTTTCATGGAGATCACTGTGAGTTGCTTCCCAGCCTCCCTCAAAACTCCTTGCCCTTTTCCACCCAAACCTTAAATAAATAAGTATTCCAGAGTTATAACTACACAAAGAGGCTGTTTGCTATCCAGCTAATGTATTTAGTACTTGTTCAAACTGGTCCAGCTAGACATTTTGGGGCAAGAAGATAATTCCCTGTTGAATTGCTCTATAACCTTGAATTGCTCATATATAACTTTATGTATGCTGAAGGTATGGGAAAATCAAGTCCTCAACAAGCTTTATTATTACACATTCATCATCTCCATCCTCTGGCTTCCTTTATTAACCAACAGTTGTATTTTTGCCCTCTCCATCACACCGTGGAATTAATTCACTAGCTGCAAGATGTTACAGAAGCCTCACAGTGAACCTGTGGCAAGGGTGAGAAGATGGCACAAAAATGATTGAATAACTGCACCCATCTTGTACTGCTGAGATCAAAGTGTAATGCCAAGTGAAGGCAAACTGGCTTCTCAGAAAGCTGACACCAAAGTCTAAGCATGAGCAAGGGACTGCTTGCTCCACTCTGCATGTAGTCTGCTCTATCTCTTGTTGTAAGACAGTTCC